AGGTTAGTCTTCTGTTTAAAATCAATCTTCCAATGCCAAGGGATCAAGTAGTCTTCTGTTTAAAAATCAATCTTCCAATGCCAAGGGACCAAGGTAATCTTCTGTTTAAAAATCAATCTTCCAATGCCAAGGTAGGCTTCTGTTTAAAAATCGGTCTTCTATTGCCAAGGAACCAAGGTAGTCTTCTGTTTAAAAATCAGTCTTAATGCCAAGGGATCAAGTTAGGTTTTTATTGAAAAACCAGTCTTCTACTACAAAAAAAAAAAAAGATGCATTTAATTCTTTTAATAGTGTAATAAGTTTTTTTTATTCAGAATTATGTTTTGAGTAAGTTCATACTTCCCTAGGATATTCTGTACGATCCTGGAGGAAAGGATGACTTTTCCACTGTGGAGGATGATGAAGGAAAGAGAATATTAGAAGAGCTAGCAGAGAAAACACGTCAAAGGTGAATTTTTTTTTAATTATCAACATCCTCAAATAGCAACATTACAATTTAACTTGGTTCCTGTAATGATTTATAGATTTTAAAAGTACACTACATTAAAGTGGACACGTTCATTTCAATGACTGATTGACTAGTTGTAAAGTTGCAAAATACTAAGAAAATCTCAGAAACAAAACTGTTAAATTTTTGATATTTGGTTTTCCCAAATTTCTTAAATTGTAAAAATATATATAGGATATAACGGATTTATTTTGAAGCTTACTGTGCTACTATTTTTTTTTTGTTATGAGATGATAGGGATAGATTGTTTTTAAAAATGATCTGAGGGAAACTAAGAACATTATTTCCAAAATTTACAATGGCCTATTTTTTTTTTAAGTGCTTATTAATATGGGGTTACTGCACTTATGTACTATATCACATTTTTCATTCGTATTTGTTCTGGGTCTTTATCATTAATGTTTTATTGCATGATATTCATCAACTTTTAAGCTTTACGCTGAAAGTAATGACCAATATTCTTTCAGAAGACAACGTAGTGGAGCAGACACTGTGGATGGAAATAATCATAGTAGTCGTTGCCGGAAGCCAGAAATAGGGATCACAATACATGTGGATAATTTTAGTTGATTCATGGAGATTTTAGTGCTGCATCAAGTTGCCTTGTCAAGTTGTTTTTTCTTATATGTGACTTGTTTAAATAAAATTAAGAATCAACTGATACACATTGTTGATAGGGTTGTTACTAGCACATAATACACAAATTGTTTTCTTAACAGTACCTGTAGCCAGCAACCTCTTATTAGACTTTAAGTAACTTTAGTACACATTTCAGATTAAATAACGTGCTATTCACACAAAAATTTAGAAACTTTTTCTTCAGTGCAAAGGTTGATTTCCATCTTACTGCACGAGATGTTTCAACAGCCAACTAGACCTTGTATAGAATATTACCACCTAATATATAGGACGTTTTTCATTCTTCCTCAAGTGTAACAGGTTTGAAGTTTGGATATTTACTACCATATTCATAATTTTTCCAATCTATCTTAAAGAAAAAATACTTTGTTGTAGCAAACTCTACTTTTTCAATACATAATTACCAGGAATTTCACAAAAATTTTAATATAATATAAGGGAAAAACCATCTTAAACAACACTCAAGACCTTCTATCTCAATGGCTTAGTCTGCAAAAAAGTTGATTTTCCAATTGTTAGACAAAAATCATTTCTTTTTTTTTGTTTTACAAGTCTACGGAAAGAAATGGGTATGAATATTTTATTAAAACCTGCATAGGTCATAGGACTATTCTTATGTTGATTCTTGAAATAGCAGGGGAGTTTTTATCAGTTTTTTAATCGCTACTGGCCCAGTTTCTCTTCAAAGTCTACTGCAAAATGGCTACTAAAATCTCAGTGAAGGTTGCATGAATATTTTTAATTTAATTCTGGAAAGTGGAGATTTCCATCTTCTAAGTTGCTCTTCAAGCACCATTATACTAGTAGGAAATGCTTTATTTTACTAGAATAAACAATGTGTATATTTATAACTGTGTCTCCAACCTTATTAGTGATTATAGATTTACAAGGTGCTACAGAAAAAACGCCTACAAATATTTTATCGAAACCTGGACAGTAATAATGAATGCAATACTGAGTATGTCATAGGGTAGTCTTAAAATTAATTGAAGTGCCTTCGTTTTTTTTCACCCAGAAGAATTTCTTTAAGTCCTTCACTTTCCACCATTGAAAAAATACAGTGTTTTACTAATGCCCATTAATTGAAAATAATTTGTGCAACTTATAGCACATTAATTGGAAACTGCCATGTTGAAGATTCATCATTTCTCGAATTCGCTGTTGTACTTTATCTCTACTCTTGTGAGTGGTGATTTGTTCTACTGATTTTCATACTTCATTGAAATTTTGAGTGCATATTTTAGAATTATTATTATTCATATATGTTTATTTCACAAGCCTACAGCAAAATTAGCTGGGTAATTCACACCAAAATCTAGACAGATATAATATATGAAATGCTGCGAATATCCATGACCTATTTAAAGAGTTTATGTACTTGGCTATAAATACATAACATATGTGATGTTGTTGTGAGCAGCTTCCTTTGTACTTGACACTTGTTAACCTAAACACGTGTTTACACAAAACCACCTGGCTCAATAATATATTGAAAAAGTACAGAAACAAGTTTAATGAAAATGTAAAGATTATATTTTCAAGCCTACAACTAGGGACTCGTATATATATATATATATATAGAACTAGGCTGGAAATAGTGTCTACATTATTTTCTCAAGCTACAA